TTTATAACCAGTAGAGCCATGCACAGGATGTTTGGAAGATCATCCAGGGAAGGGGATGGCACAAGAACCTGATAGAACACTCTTTCTGCTCCTGTTTCATCTCTCTTGCAGATCAACTTGTCTATTTTGGAGTTCAGAGATTTGGACTTGAACCTGAGTGTGGCCACTTCCCATGCAATCCAGGAGATTATGCTCCATGAGCTTCAGTTTCCTCAAGTGTAACATCAGAATGCTATTAATAACCCATACACATGCATTTAACAAATATGTATTGAATCCCTACCTTGTGCTAGGTCCTTGCAACACAGCAGCAAGCAAGATGTAGCTCCTGTCTTTTTGGCTGGAGCTTCACTATACTCCAGAGCAGAAGTCCCCAAATAGCAGCTCCTGTGAGTATTTCATACGGCTCATGTGATTTCTAAAAAATTTCAGATTTGTTGCAAACGTGTAAAAAATGTTAGATTTTATACAAATACTTCAAATATAAATTCTGGCAAAAATGAGCTTGTATTTCTGCATGGTGACCATTAGGCAGCGCTTGGTGTCTTCTTCCTTTAAAAAGAAGGTATGCTGTCCAGGTAGTGACAGTCTACACCCCTTGTAGACATTCTTACCTTGCTCAGCCTAAACAATAGTATTCTTTATCATCATCTTTTTAATCCAGCTCTTTGACATGACCTTCAAGGCCTTCTAGATATGTTTCAGGCTAATTCTTCCTCTCAATTGTGATGCTGCAGCAAATTGCCACAAGGTATCTCTGAACCATTACAAGGCTCTTCTCTTTGCCTGAAATGTTTTTGATTCCATTTTTCTATCCATAAAACTTATATTGATCTTTTAAAGGTCATTTTAAACACTCCCTTCTTCCTTTGTGAAGACTTCTTAGAAGAAATGCTCAGAGGGGCACATGACTGAAGACCTTCAAAGACCAAAGGATCCTCAGTTGTTCTACACCTCAGAGTTGGTCCCAAGGGTCTTCCAGCTGGTTACAACTTATAAAAAGTCTCAGCTTTCCCAATTAACAAAGACAAGAATGTGAACATTCAATGAGATAATGTCTGTTAATGAAGTTCTAGCATGCACACAAAATGTTTGAATAGAGTTACTGATTTTAATAAACAGTATATATTCTAGTTAATATAATATTGGTGGCAACTTCCTCAAGGATAGTACATCAGCAGGTGCAAAGCCTGTGCAAGGAAGACAAATTTATTATGGTTGAAAAGTAATGGAATGGAAAGTGTTTGGAAAAGTAAGCTAGGGCCTTCAAATTGGTCTCCCTGCCTGACCCTTTGCTCCCTTTTTAAACAGCCGCTAGTATGATCCTGCAAGATAACGTCATGTCACTCCCCTGCCAAGAAGCCTGCAGTAGTCCCTACTACTCTCAGAGGAAAAGTCTACTTCCCAGCTCCCCCACCTCACCACTCTCCCCTTGTTCACACACCTCTCTGCCCAGCCACACTGACTTCCCTGTCTGTCCTTAATGGGACATGCATTCTCCTACCACGGGGCCTTTTCACTTACCAGGCTCTCTTTCTATAGTGACCTTTGCCCTGATGTCTACATGGCTCCCTCCATCACATTCTTAGGTCTTAATTTCTCATCTCCCTAAACTAAAATTAAAATTAGTCTATCTGAAATTAAATTTAGTCTATCTAAAATTTTACTCCAGGCCCACTCCTTTCTAACCTCTTTAGTTGTTCTTTTGTTCTTCTTTTTTATTTTTTATTTTTATTTTTTTTGACAGGCAGAGTTAGTGAGAGAGAGAGAGAGAAAGGTCTTCCTTCTTTTGGTTCACCCCCCAAATGGCTGCCATGGCTGGCACGCTGCGCCGATCAGGAGCCAGGAGCCAGGTGCTTCCTCCTGGTCTCCCATGCTAGACTAGAACCCTGGGTGCCAGCACCGCAGGCGGAGGATTAGCCTAGTGAGCTGCAGCGCCAGCCTCTGTTGTTCTTCTTAGAACTTAACCATCAGTGAACATACTTTATTTTCCTGTTCATTGTCTCTCCCCCTGGAGCATAAGCACGGTGGAAGCAGAAGCTCCTGTCACAGAACCTGGTACACAGGAGATACACAATCCATGCATGTTGGATGAGTGGTTAAAGTTTCTGGACTCAATAAATATTAGGAAACCGTGAAATATGTCTTAAGCAGGAGGATGACGGGATCAGAGCGTGCAGAGGCTACGGGATGGAGTGGGGTTAGGCTGGGAGCTGGGAGGAAGGAGGTAGTCACTCAGCAGGAGGGTACATAAGTGAAAGTTTAAACAAAGGGCTGGGGTAGGAAAAGAAAGACAAAAGGAGGCAGTAAGTCTCAAAAGGGCAGGGATTGTGTCCCTTGAATAGCAGGTGCCCAATACATATTTGCTGAATGATAAATGAAAGGATGATGCTCAAGTCTCCTGTGGGATGGAACCAGGGCATTGGTCTGAATCTGTCTCAGAAAGCCCTAAACCCTGGAGGGTCTTGCTCCTGGGGCCAGGAGTTCCACAAGATCAACGCTGACCTCCTGTGTTTGTGTGCGCATTTCCCCTTCCTTCCTCAACTGGGATCACTCTACAGGGCCCCTAGCTACCATTTAGGCCTCAGCTTAGCTTGGACTAAGCAGGGATTTGAGCTGTAGGAACTGCGGTGTGGTTGCGGCCGTACATGTCCAGGGGCAGCAACCAGCTCTCCTGACCTTTATGAGAGTTGCACAGTGCAGAGAAATTAGTGTGCAGAGGAGCCTTCCCTGGCCAGTCCAGAGCCACTCAAAGGAGTGGAAATCACTCTCTTTGTCTCTCTCAGAACCACAAGATTATTGAACAGCAGGCCAGTCCAGGTAGAGGCTGAGCATGAGACCACATTCAGAGAAAGTCCCCACAGTGGAGAGGGAGGGGTGCTGCTTGGCCAAGGTACCTCTCATTATACCCTCCCTTCTCTGTCCCTCAGTGAGGCACAGCTTCTCAAGGGATGAGTCCACACTTGGCCTGGCTCCCAATCCAATCAACAGAAATGAGATGCTTCACATCCTCTCTGCATGCTGGCACAATTCTGAGCTTCCCAGGTGTTTATTAAGGGAACACTGGTACCTGTGCCAGGTCCTTGCCTAAAGATGGGACTGGCGGGGAGCAAATGCAGCAGCAGAGAAAAATCATATTGGCTGAGACCTGTTACTGCCTTACTTATTTCATTTAATCCTCTTGTAGGTCCTGGCAAACAGGCAGTATTCTCTTTTGCAAGGCGAGGAAACTGAGGCTCATACAATTAGGAGATGAGAGGGGGGACATTGCGGCAAGCTTTGCCTCATTCCCAAGCACAGTTTGTTTTTCTAAGGATCCCAGAGCTGCCTCTAGAATTTAATCATGGAGCTAGGCATTGTCAGAACTAGAGGGCAATGGTGGAATTTGTTCAGCTCCTTGCAAGTGCCCTTTCTTCTTTCTTAAAAAAAAAAAAAAAAAAAGGCAATGACAATAATATTTTTGTTAAATACTCTGTATATCTTCTTTAAAAGATTAAATGATACCGACAGCTTTATAACCAAAACATCAGCCCTGTCCACTCCCTATTTGTGTTGAAGTAATATTTTGTCTCCTAATATTTCTGCTGAAATCTTTCACCCATTCTTATCTGCCTTCTCATGCTTTGTGTCCTCTCTTAACCTTGAGGATGAATATATATTTTTTTATTTCTTTGTTGTCATTATTCTGGGGTAGTCTGGGAGGGAGAGGAGATAAACACACCTGGCCAGTCAGTCATATTGAACAGAAGTCTGGCTTCTTTATTTTATTTTTTAAACGAAATATTTATTTACTTATTTGAAAGAGAAGAGGAAGAGGAGGAGAGAGAGTGAAAGAGAGGGACAGAGATAGAGAAAGAGAGATCTTCCATCTGCTGGTATATTCCCCAGATGGCCACAACAGCCGGATCAGGACCAGGCTGAAGCCCAGAGCCAGGAACTCCTTCTGGGTCTCCTGCATGGGTGTTAGATATCCAAGCACTTCCCAGTGCATTAGCAGTAACCTGGATCAGGAGAGGAGCAGCTGGTACTTGAACTGCCACTCTGATGTGGGATGCTGGCATTGCAAGTGGCAACTTAACCTGCTACACCATATGCTGGCCCCAGCTTTTTTTTTTTTTTTCAATTATTTGAGAAGCAGAAAGACATAGAAATGGAGTTGAAGATAGAGATGGAGATGGAGATGGATGTCTTTATCCACTAGTTCACCCTCCAAATGTCCACAACAGCTAAAGCTAAGAGCCCAGAATTCCATCCAAGTCTCCCACATAGGTGGACAGGGACCCAACTACTTGAATGATTACTTTCTGCCTCCAATGGTCTGCATTAGCAGGAAACTGGAATAGGAAGTGGAACTGGGACTCCAAGGCAGGCACTTCCATATGGGATGCAGGCATCCCTCGTGTTTTAAACTGCTACACTAAATGCCTGTCCCAGAAGTCTCCCTTCTTGCCACTCTACCTCTCGCCTTAAAGAGTGTATCCAGAAATAGCTCATTTTTCAGTCAACAAATGTCCAGGTCTCAGAGAGCTCCTGGCCTGCCAGATTCCCCTCTAGCTTCCCTCAAGGACTGGACTGAGGCCTGGAGGGAATGATAGACACAGAGGAAACAGTGGAGATAACAATGATGGTTGCCCCCTTCCATCCACAGGGCATCCCACCGATTCCAGAGAGCACTCACAGCAGCTCTCTCATTTCCAAGCAGCTTGTGATCACAGGCAGGTTGTTTGGTATGGGCCATGAAGTCAAAATCAGCCGCTACTGTGTGCCAGTTGAGCAGCATATTTGAAATCAGAGCTATGACCCCTCTGATGCCTAGTTTCTGTAGTTTCTTATTGGGCTCTTTTGTATGCAGAGCCAATGGGAGCTCTCCAGACCAGGGGGAGAGAAGAGGGGTAGGGGTGGACTCAGATTTGCACTGAAGGGGAGGAAGAATGGAGGAGGCCCCAGGGGAGCTCACTTCCAAGTGATTTACTGCCTTGTTTTTCTCCTCTTCCTTTCAGAAAGGTTCAAGTTTGAAGAAAGAAAGGTGCTTCTCTGAGAACACTGACCAGTGCTCAGCTTGGTCCAAGGATTAAAAGAAGGGCAGAATTGAATCACTTCGAACACTTCAGTGGGGGAATTTTAGAGTCCCAGGTGAGAGTCTGTTCCATCGCTTGTGTTGGGAAGTGAGCTTAATTTATGTTTTTTTCTTTTTTTTCTGTTGCTGGCCTCTGCAGCTCCCTGCCATCTCCATGATTCTAGGATTTGGAGTGTATTCCAGGAGGCAAACCGCTGAGGTTAAGGACAGAGGGACAGACAGTAAGAAAGCAACAGGCAATACGCATTACAGTTTAAGATGTGGTCTGGCAATGTGTTAGGCTTATATATAGCCCTGGTACCTGGAAATCCTTGGATACAGGCAGAGGTAATCGAGGGCCAACAGAGGTTTTGGAGTAAATCTGATGGGCTCCAGAAGATTAGTTGGGGTCTGAGTTCCTTTGAGAGAGCAGAGAATTGAACTGTTTAGCTTGATATCCTGCCTGCCTCCAGCAACTCCACCAAAGCATATTCCACTCTCAGAGATCATTTGCCATACTGGCTCCAGTAAGACCAAGTTCCCACTGTACCAAGCCTGTGGAAGAATCCCCAGGTTCTGTGCCTCCTGCTCTGCCAAGAAGATAATGGGTTTTGAAACTCATGGCTTTATTATCACATATCTGATATTGTAGAGATTAAAGTCTGGGTAGTCACAGAGACCCCTCCCACAAAATAAGAGCTCACTGGCAGCAGGCGAGGGGGATTCCCTAGTTCTCATGGCTGTGAATCAGGGCCCCTGTGCTGAATGCACATCCTACTGCCTGAAACTCAGACTCACAAGTGAGTCAGCAGTGCCCCACCTGAGAGGCAGAGGAGGTAAAACCAGGGGGGCATCGCAGGCCCAAGCCACACTGGGGCTGTTTGAATCTAGCAGGCGCTCTTTGGAGAATATAGAAGAACTGCTTCTTTCAGTGTCTTTGGGGACCCACAGGATGTTCTTATCCCCAGATCCAGTGGATGAGGTGTGTCTCCAGTAAAGAGAGTCAGGATGGCTTATCGCCAGGTCATCACTTGAGGAAGTTCCTGTGATTGCCACTTTAATTCCTCCTGCTTTACTCCCCTTCCTTTGATTCTTCAGTTGAGTGACATGAGAGTTGGGAGTTTTGTTTACTATAACATCAATCACATCTAGATCCATGGGTGATTTTTTATTTTTATGTTTAAATAGTCAACAACCAGTGGCATTGCCAATCAGAATAGACACTGGTCAGGGTGCTAAGCAGGGTTCAAGTGGAAAAGGGCCCTGGTCTTGGTTTTGTGGCTAATTTGCTATGTGACCTTGAGGAAATCACTTGGCTTCTTTGGACCTCATTTTTCTCATCTGTAAAAAGTAGAGATGCCTCCAGGATTAGGCAACTGAAGCAAGTGAGTGAGCCCGGCAGGGTGGAGTTATCCTGCCTGTCATGTGTAGACTCTCTCTAAATAGGCAGCTGTTGCCAGGTGAAACAGGTGGTGTGCATGGTGTCCAGAGCACTTGATTCTTCAAGAGAAGATGTGAATCTGTATGTTTATGTGAGGTCTCCTGGCATTTAAAACACCATGTGAGTCAAACATCTCTAAGTCAATTTTACCCATGAACTAGAGGATCTAGAACAGTGGTGAGGAACATCCAGCCCACAGGTCATGTAAGGCCCACAGAATCCCTTGGTCTGGCTCTGCCAAGGCAACCACAGGCGGGACTTGAAATTCAGTAAATCTACAGCAGGCTAATTTTTAGGTTGATAATTTGTGAATGATGTTATAAATATCCAAATGCCTCTTGGCAGAAAAAGGGTTCCCCACCCCTGATCTAAAAGGACCCTCCTAGCTTGACTTTCTGATTTAAAATATGTGTTTTCTAAAGAAGATTCTAAGAATTACGTTAGTCATGGGAATCTCAGCTCAAGCAAAAGTGAATGCCTGTGTGTGGGCTCATACTTGCATGTCATTGGGCTTCTGGTTCCCTTCTGGTGACACTCTCCTGGTGGTCTTCCCTCCACCCCTCACACCCACCCACAGCAGAAGCTTTGCTTGGTCTCAAGAGCCCAGCCGTGGGCCAGATGGAAGGTGCTGCTTGCCCAGTGAGCTCATCAATAGTAGCAAGTTGGCTGGACTGATGAGCCAGGCCTTCCCCTGAGTGAAGGGAAGAGTGGCCACAGGGCAGTGATTGAGACAGAGGCTGGGTGAGTCAGGCCTTGGGGCTTGCTGCCTTCCCAGGCCTTTGCTGGATACATCCCAAAGCTGACTTGGGACTAGCAATGGAGTCTGCATTATCACCACTCTGGGGCTCTAACCCACACACATGAATCTACAAGATATCACAGACGAGGTGGCTTCAGTAACAAAAAGAAATATTGGTCTGGAGTTAAGTCCAAAACCAGGGGCTGGTGTTGTGGCACAGTGGGTAAAGACACTGCCTGTGCTCTAGCATCCCATATTTGCACCGGTTTGAGTTCCAGCTGCTCTACTTCCAATCCAACTCCCTGCTTACAGCCTGATAAAGTAGTGGAAGATGGCCCAAGAGCTTGGGCCCTTGAACTCACATGGGAGATCTGGAAGAAGCTCCTGGCTCCTGGCCCAGCCTGAGCTGTTGCAGCCATATGGGGAGTGAGCCATCGGATGGAAGATCTCTCTCTCTCTCTCTCTCTCTCTCTCTCTCTCTGTAACTTTGACTTTCAAATAAATTTTTAAAAAAGTCCAAAACCAAGGTGCTGTTGGGTCTGAGGGCTGTTGGGGAAGTGGGGTGGAGGATCTACTCCAGGCCTCTCCTTGGTATACAGATGGCTGTCTTCTCCCTTGGTCTCTGCATCATCTCTGCTCTACAAGTGTCTGTCTCTGAGCCCACATCTCTTCCTTTTGTAAGGACACTGGTCTTGTTGGGTTGCAGCCCACTCTAATGAGCTCATTTTAACCTCATTACCTCTGCAAAGACCCTACCGTTGGAAAACATCACATTCCGAGGTAGTGAGGGTCAGGACTTCAACATATGAGTTTGGGGTGGGGGCACAATTCTGCCCATTGCACCTTTCTTCTGCAGCTTCTCACTCATCTCTCTAAACAACGACACCAAGTGCCTGCTTGTGCCCCATCTCACCTGACAGTGCAGTGCTGGAAGGTGGGATCTGTCTGGTTTATCTCACTGCTCCCTGTAGGTAGGTCCTCTGTGTGTGGAGGTGGGGAGTGGGGGGTGGGGGGAGGGAAAAGGGGACTTAACTTCCCAGGTGATTACAAGGGAAACCTTCTTCCTGTGCGAGGTACTGTCTGTAATATGGTGCTTTTTATCCTTACACCACCAATAACTGCAAGTAGCTACATAGGACACTAAGTGTCAGATCCTGTACATGTTGGTCACCGACTGAATTCCCACCATACTACCGTGAGACAGGTACTATCCTAAGCCTCATTCTACAGCTAAGAAAGAGAGCCCAGAGAGCTGAAGAAACTCTCCCAAGCCTGCAGTGACTGATGGAGTTGGGGCTTGAGCCCCCTTCAGTGGCTCCAGAGGCCAGGCTATGACCGTGATTAGAAACAGCAGGAGTTATGGTGCTGGCTGAACAGGTGGGGAAACTGAAACAGACGCTAGGAGACTCACCTACCGTCACACAGGGAAGGGGCAGAGGGAAAGCAGAATTCCAGCCCTGGAACCACATGGCCTTCCCCAGACGGGACCCCGTGTCCTGAGTCCCTTCCCCATCGCTAACTCCACGCACGCAGGCCCACGGCCTGGCAGGGCCGACTCAGACTCTGGAACCCCCTGTCGTTCTGAGCTGTCCCCGGACCATGGGGTAGTTACGGGACGTGAAGGAGGGGAGGCCCTCGCTCGCCTTGGAGTTGACCTCCCAGCCGCTTTTCTTTCCCAGGACCACCAGCCCCGAGGCGCAAGGGCGAGGCCCGAGCCTGGGACTTTTCTTAGCACGGGTTAGAAGCGGGGGAGTGAGGTGGGAAGAGGCCGGGCGGGGCCGGGCCGCCCAGGCACGCAAAGTATCTTATTTCTCCCAAGCGGCCAATCCCGGACGCCGGAGGGCGTGGCTACACCTGGGAGGCGTGGCCAGCCGGCGGAGTGGGCAGAGGCGTCTCGGGGCGAGGCACTGACGTAAGCTCCGCGCACCTGGGCCGGGCAGGTAAGGGCTGGTGCGGGACGGAGAGAGGAACCCGAAGTCCCTATCCGCGCTGAGCGGGGCGCCGCTCGGCCGAGCCGTCGAGGAGCTCGGAGGCCGGCGTCTGCTCCTCGCTGCTGACTTGGTTCAGAGGGACGTCCGCCTCTGGTAGCCGGATTGAGCCAAGGTGGGGACGCCGACACGCGGAGACTACTCTGAGGGAGAGGAGACAGGCCCGCCGGTGGGGAGGGGTCCGTTCTAGCCTCGATGGGAGAGGGGAGAGTCCGTTTGGGGACATCCACTTCGTTGCGGGACTGGGCGCCTGTCGCCCTCCTCCAGGTAGCTTTGTGGCTGTCCCGGTTCTGCAGCGCGGGCCCCGCCCGACCCCACATTTGGGCCCACTCCCTTTCCCTTCCGCGCCGAAACGGACTTTGCTGCTCTTGGCCCCCTGCTCACCCCACCGTCGCGTGGAGCCCAGGACCCCTCTCCCTCTCCCCTCGGTCTTACCAATCGGTTGGCCCGCCGGCCTCTGTGGCAGGGGCCGCTTCTTGGGCCTGGCCGCCTTTGGTCCCGGTGGGTGCTTTGGGAACTTGGAAGAGATGAGCGCGACCTCGAGCTCTGGCCGGTTTGTTTCCCTCCCTGAGTTTGTTTAGCCCAGTCTGGCCGCTGCCCTGGGCCTGGGAGACACCCATGGATTTCCCAGTAGCCAAGCTAGGTGCTGGGGAGGGTGGCGCCAGGTGTGGCTGCTCCGGGGGTGAGGCCCTCTTTGCCGAAGGGGCTGGATGGTGGGTGTGGAGAAGTGGGGAAAGAGGCCTGGGGTGCTGCTCTTTCCAGGCAGTCTGCTTTTCCGGAAAGGGGTCGCCCTGCCCCTCCGCCGCTCTCTCGGTGGGTATCAAGTGTGGCAGCCAGGGAACGGAGAAGTAGAATAGGGGTTGGTGAATGCTGGGCTGACCGGGGCAGGAATTTAGGGTAAGATGTTTGTGTGAGACCCCACTGCAATACCTAACTCCCAGCAGGTCCACCCCTGCCGCCCCCAACTTCTACTGGAGGGGAAGCAGTGGGAATTAGGGCAAGAGGCCCAGAATTTACCCCTAGGTGGGGCCGAACCGAAGGAAGGAAGACTGGGAAACTTAGAGCTTGGGCTGGGGTTCCTCTCCAGGAAGCCGGGAAGAAATGGGACCGCCCCTAAGACCTGTCCAGAGGCAGGAAATGGCAGGCAGGTCCTCCTCTGTGCAGAGCCACTGACAGCCAGCGGATCTTTGGCTCTGCAGTAGCAGTGCCTGGAAACAGGTCTGGGCAGGGGCTGTGGAGGGGGCTGTTCACAGAGGCCCTGCGCCCTGGATGAGGGTGTCAGAGAGAACAGTTAGTCCCTGGGGAGGCTGAAAGCACCCTTGCTCCACACTCCCTGAGAGGGAAGACAGTCAGTTACTATCTTTGTATTTTGGGTGGTAAATACCTGTTCCAGGCACAGCTCTTGAATTCTGCTGTGATGGAAGCCAGGGATACCAGGGCTGAGCCCCGCTGGGCTGTGGTCCTTCTCCCTGCAGCCCTTGGGATTTGAGTGGCAAGAGTGTTTAGGAAGAGCCCTGGTACAGGTGCATTTGAGAGCAGGTGTCAGGCAATCTTTCCCTAATCACTTCCTTGGCCCTCTGTGGGGTTTTGGTTGATGCTTTGGGCTGTGTGCTCTCAGTGTGCAGAAGACGGGAGGCATGGTGCAGTGGCCAGCTTGGGTGCAGCACCCACTGGGGATGCAGGGTCCTAGCCTCAGATAAACCACTTGGGCTCTCCATGCCTCAGTTAGCCCTGCTGTAAGATGGATATGATGGTGTCACTTCTAGAATTGTAAGGGTGAAACCAGACACATTATGTAAAAATGTGCAGATGTGGAGGGTTCTGGTTACCCTCCTTCCTGAGAAATGTCTTAGTTACTTTCCTGTGGTTGAAAAAAATACTACTTGGAGTTAAAAACAAAACTCTTTTTTAATGGAAACATCATTGTATGAAGATGTGAATGATGTATACAGGTATATGGGAGAGTATAAAAGCATCTGTAAGTCCATCATCATGCAACCCTGTCATGAATCTTGTTGCACTGCTGCCTGTCTTCCCCATTTTTCAGTTCTCTGTGTGTGTCCATGGATGCCAGCATGTGTATGTTCCCAAATGGAGAGGCAAGGATGTTTTTCAAAAAGTTCCTGGAGAAATAGGATTAAATGATAAGTTTATTTTGGTACAAAATTTTTGAAATCCTTGCATCATCTTTTCATAAGAGGCATTTTTCCAATGAACTTTTTTTTATTTGACAGACAGTGAGAGAGAGAAAGAAAGGTCTTCCTTCCATTAGTTCACCCCCCAAATGGCCACTATGGCTGGAGCTACGCCGATCAGAAGCCAGGAGCAGGTGCTTCCTCCTGGTCTCCCATGTGAGTGCACAGGCCCAAGAACTTGGGCCATCCTCCACTGCCTTTGTGGGCCACAGCAGAGAGCTAGACTGGAAGAGGAGCGACCGGGACTAGAATCTGGCACTCTAATGGGATACCAGCACCACAGGCAGAGGATTAACCAAGTGAGCCACGGCGCTGGCCCCTCCAATGAACTTTTAAAAGAGCCCTTGTATTGCTATGCATTCCATGTTATATACTACCTTCCTCCCTTATCTTCATATTGTAAACATTTCCCCAAATCCCATAAGAATTGGCTTGGTACTCGTGATTAATGGCTGCTTGGTAGTGCAGCCTGTGGCTGTGATGTAATGAACTATTCCTCTGTCAGTCATTTTGGCTGTTTTCAATTTTTCCCTCTCTGCCTATCTTAGAGTCTAAGTGGGTGGCAGGTGGGGGAGATCTTGGCTGACTTTCAAAGATGGTGGGGATTGGCAGGGAAGGAGAGAGGGTGTGAGGGCAGGCTGGGCCCCGCCCGTGGGCCAAGGCGGGCTTGCTCATGTGTAGTCCCATCTGGGAGAACACTGAGAACTGGGGCTCTAGATCCTAACCACTGATCTCTATGGGTGGCTGCTTCTCCTTCCCCATCACAGGGTGCAGCTCCTTTTCGTGGCCTGGTTGCCTTCATTTTTTTCTTGATGGGCTGTAGATTAACTACAATAAGCCTTTTTTTCAAGTCCATGATCAGTCAAGAGTTGGATTTCATGTGTCAAACAGACCCAGGCACAGGTCTTACCAGTAGTGCAATAGAAATTCTCCAAAACCCTTACTAGCTGGCCAGTTGGCTGCTCATTCCCCCTCTTCTCCTTTCCCTCCCCACCCCCTTCTAGTAAGGCCTGGACTGGGAAGAAGAAGGCAGCATGTGCCCTTGGGAGACTATGCATTCCCTTTTCCTTATAAGTTATATACACACACACTTACACTCACACTCCACAGTCTGGTGGCATCACATGCTGTCCCACAGAGCACCTTACAGTAGGCCAAAAACAGAAACATTTGAACACTGCATGCCAATCTCACCTGCCCATTGTGAGCTGTGCTGGGGGGGGGGGGGGGGTTGGAGGGAAGGTTTCAGTTGCAGGACTTGGTAACTGGGTCAGCAGGCACAGGTGAGAGCAGGTCCTACCTTGCTCTTAAAGTGCCAGAGGCAGACTTGGGTTTGGGCTTCTCCCATTTGTTGGGAGTCTGGCTGGGGAGAGAAATGCTGTTAGCTGTTCTGCTCCCCAGCCCCAACTCCTCCAAGTGGGAACCTGCAGCTCACTCAAGTGTTTTGTTTGGTTTTTTATAAAGATTATTTATTTATTTAAAAGTTAGGATGACAGAGATCTTGCATCTGCTGGTTCAATCCCCAGAAGACCACAACGGTATGGGCTGAACAAGGCTAAAGACAGAGCTTCATCTGCGTCTCCCGTGTGCATGCAGGGGCCCGGCCACTTGAGCCATCTTCCACTGCTTTCTCAGGCCATTAACAGGGAGCTGGATTGGAAGTGGGGCAGCCAGAATCAATCTGGCACCCATATGGGATGTCAGTGTCGCAGGCAGCGGCTTTACCTGCTAAGCGATAGCGCCAGTCCCAACTCAAGTGGTTTTACTTCAAAACTGTGATCCAGGTGAAGAGGCGACTTACTGAGCTTCAGGGTGATGGGGAGCCTGGGCAGTCCCTATGTGGATTTCCTCAGGAAGCAGTGAGAACACTGAGCTTTTGTATTTTGTAAGGAACATAGCACTCAACACACAGTAGCTGGTGAACAAATATTTGTTGAATGAATGTTATTGGTCCGGGCCTCTGTTTCTCATTTTAAGTAAAAGCAAAAAACAAAACAAAACAAAAAAAACCAAAACAACCCAAGCACCACCGAACAATTCTTTGGTTAATGGTTTTTCCACCAGGTACCATGTCTGGGCAGGGTTTTGTTTTCTGCTGTGAATGAGGGCCACTGCCCAGTGTTATCAACTATGCCCGTGTATTTGCATGAGAATCAATTGCAGACTTTACCCAGCCTGGGACCCATTGCCTCCCTGCAGCCTCTGGGGAGATAAACAGACCCGGGTGAGGAACCTGTCCTGGCGGGGCAGGGCTTGGCTTATGGTTGCAGTACTCAGTGCTAGGTTCTGTGGGAGTTGATTATTTTTGGGCTCTGAGCTTGGCCAGACGCAGTGCTCGGGACGCAGTCTCAGAACCTATCTTCCCAGTGTTCCCAAGTCTCCTTCCTGGTGCTGGATTGTGGCATAGGTAACCAGTAGGGATCCCCTTTTCTTGATACAGAGTCTCCCGGTGGCACAGAACAAGGAAAGAGGACTTGAAGCCTGGCTCTTCAGATCTCCGTGGACACATTGCCGGCTCAGCTGTGTAAGTGAAGCTATTGGAACCCGGGGCCCACCTGTCACTTCTGTCTGTCCGACGTGGTGTCCTTTCTCACTGCAACGTTCTCTTTCACCTTTAGTTGTCTTGTTTATAAAGAACATGCTTAAGCTTCTTCCCCATGTGCTGTGGTTCCCCTGAGATGAGAATGAAAGGCAATTTTCCCTTCTCCTCCAAAGCCCTTGCTACTCAACAGGGCCTGTGTTCCAGCCGGGATGACATCACCTTTTAATTTTCCTGCTTCAGGATTTAAATACAAGAAATGTGATCTACTTCCATGATAAGTCTGATTTGGCTAGAGCATGAAGTATAAATGGCTTTGGAATAAGAATCAAAAGAACCTTTTAACCTCCTTTCTTTTCTTTCCCACCTGGCACAGTTTATTCCCCTATTTAGTTTCTTTGCCGTAATCTAGTGAAACAGTAGCTCTATCGTATGGGAATGGTAGCTGGGAGAAGTTCCCAGTGGCTGGCCTAATTCTCTTGTTCTCCCTCCCTCTCACTCCCTGCCTCCCCCCAGATCATGGCCCTCCACCCCCGCAGAGTTCGGCTGAAGCCCTGGCTGGTGGCCCAGGTGGATAGTGGCCTGTATCCTGGGCTCATCTGGCTACACAGGGACTCCAAACGCTTCCAGATTCCCTGGAAACATGCCACAAGGCATAGCCCCCAACAAGAGGAGGAAAATACCATTTTTAAGGTAAAGGACTTCTTCCGTCATCTGACTTGCATTTCTTTCCTGTTCTCTTAGACCTTAATGGGTTTGTTTATTTGCTTTTTCAATTTTGGCAGAAGGAGTATACTAGATTCAGAACTCTGATGCAACAGAAAGAATGTGATAGAGGTGCCCAAACTTAGCAGGCATAGTCATCACTTTTGTTATATCCGTAGGATATGTTACATATGTTATATATGTTATAAACCCTTTATTCTTTCCTGTTGGTTGAAGCTATACAATTCATGTCCCAAATGATCCCAAGTGGGGTTGGTTAAACCCCTGCAAGTGCTTGTAGTGATGTGGTTGATCGGAAAGCCCAAGGGTCAGCAGCTGACTGCTCCTCTTCATTCACTCAGGGTTCTTGCTATGAATATACACATGTGGGTCTGGAAAGGGCTATGCGGACCCAGACAGATCTAGGGGGTGTTAGCAGGCTCTTCATCTCGCTTACTGGATGGGGATAGAGGACTCTCAGTAAGCTTTTCTTCTGGTGTTAAATTAGTTTGCCTCTGTCTATAACCTTTGCTTAAAAATTAAAGGTGGCTTAATTATAAGTTTTTATTCTGCAAGTATGTTTTCCTAAATTTAAAAAAAGACTCTGACATGATAGTCATTTTATTTAGCTGAAAACAAGGTTTAATAATGTAGCATTTTAAGCATTTTACAAAATTTAAGTGGAACCAAGGCTTCCCTTAAGGCAGAAGTAGGGGGAAAGGGGTTGCTGTGGGAAGGGGTTTGTGTGGCTTTGCCTCCACTCTGGACCAGCTTCTGGGTGGGTTGTGTCCATTTCATGAGTAGCCTCTGTCCCTGTACCCCTAAGATGTGCAGAAGTGGGTTGGTTTGTCCTTGTCCTCTGACTTGTTCTGGAAGTCAGACGTGAGATCCAGTCCCCACTTCAGGCCTCCCAAGGTCAATGCCCCAGGTTCTTGCTGAGATTGGGTAAGTAAAGGGAAGAGGAGGTGGCCTCAGGGCTCAAAGCAAAGCCACCCTAGAAGTGTTTAGGTTCTCCACCCTAGAGGAAAGGTTAGGAGTAGAGAGGAGAAGCAGAAAGAAAATTGGCCCAAGCATACTCCAAAAGAAAATAAACAAGTATTTTTAATTTAGATATTAAATCATGTAAAAATGATTAGGAAAAAATGTATCAACCAGCACCAGTTGTTGGAGTTGGCACTGAGAAAGCGATAGGCCAAAGGGATAGGACTGCCACTGTGGACTTGTCTGAAGTTGGATTTGCTGTTGAAGGCTGTGGCAGTGGCTGTCTGTGGGGATGAGGCTGGTGCCTGACGGTGACGTGCTTGGGGATGGAGGAAAGGGTGGCTGCAGGAAGGCTGCTTTGCCTTGTGTCTGTGCATCTGCTTGCGGTAGGCTGATGGAGGGCTCAAAGTCAGTAGGAGAGGGAGGGTGCTCTCCTATGGCTCCCAAGCTTTGAGGGCCAAAATGGGTGCCTGGATCCATTGCCTCATTTCATTCTCACGACAGTCCTGTAAGGGAGGATTGTTGCAGGAGCAGAAGGGCTGACTAATTGCCCAGATCACACTGTTGGTGAACACTAGAGCTAGGATTTTAACCCATGCGTTCTTACACCGCCCCATCCATACCAGCCCTTCTGAGCAGGGATTGAAAAATTCAGTCTCACGTCTAAGTACCATCTCCTGCATGTGTGGTCTTGGGTAAGTCATGGAACTTCACTGGGCTCTAGCTTTCTCCTTAGTGGAATGGGGATACAGCTAGCCTTGACTGCCTCACGGGATTATTATTTTTTTAAAGATTTATTTATTTATTTGAAAGACAGAATTACAGAGAGGCAGAGGCAGAGAGAGAGGTCTTCCATCTGCTGGTTCACTCCCTAGATGGCCGCAATGGCTGGAGCTGCGCCGATTTGAAGCCAGGAGCCAGGCATGTCTTCCAGGTCTCCCATGTGGGTGCAGGGGCCCAAGAACTTGGGCCATCTTCTACTGTTTTTCCAGGCCACAGCAGAGAGCTGGATGGGAAGTGGAGCATCTGGGACTGCAACTGGTGCTCATGTGGGATGCCAGCACTGCAGGCACCGGCCCCCTCACAGGATTTTTGTGAGAGTTGAGTCAAAGTATGGGAAGGAATCTATAAAACACTGCAAAAATGCCGAGATTAGCTCTGTTTCAGGAAGAGAAATAAGGGCCTGCAACAGTGATCTGAACCTCCCCTGGCACACTTGGAATAGGTTTGAACAGGCAATGTTTATACATCGCAGTTATTGCCACGTGGTACCTTGTGGGCCCGCCCTTCCTGATTCTAAAGTCCACTAGCAAAGGGAAGGGCTGCCAGTGTCTCGTGCATAGGCCCTGGCGATGCTATGCGGAGAGCAGGAGGGGCTACAGCTGTGCTTCTGAGTTTGGCTGCTCTCCATGGGGGGCAGGGCTTCAGGGAGCCACAGAAGTTTGCAGACCCACCAAAGTCTGCACAGAGAGTTGACGGGGAGGGGCCGGTGAGAGAGCATGGGAACAGAGGATCAAACAAATGGGAGGGACAAGGTGAGAGGCCACAGCCAGGCACTACCAGGTGACTGGAGATGTGCCTCCCAGACACCAGGAGCCAGTGAGATTGAAGTCCCCTATAGGAGATTGGCTGGAATGGACAGGATTAGGTCCCCCAGTGCCTGCTAAGTGCTGTAAGCTGCATGAACTTGTCAGCCTTCATCCTTCTAAACCACTCCACAAGTGGAACCCAAGTATGAGACAAGGAGGGGGAGGACAAGGAGGAGGAGGATTTAGAGTGCCTCCTGGAAGAAATCCTCTCTGGGTTGTGAGGCTTGGTTGGGGGTGACTGAGGGAGACCAGAGATCTCAAAGGACGGGGCAGAAAACTCAGTTTCAGCTTGAGGGAGAATCTCTGGTCTGAATCAGAAGCAAGTGCTGTGCTCTGGAAGCCTGAAGAAGTTGGTCCCCCTTTCTTCTGCACCAGGACATGTCATGCTCCTGAGAAAGCTTAGACCAGAGCGTGTGTTAGTCCTGGCAGAGCGGGGGCGTCCTGTGGGCGGAAGCCTCAGTGCCTTTTAGACCTGGCAGTGGGGCTGGGTTTCTCCTCCCGGCTTTACTCTCGGGGACCTCGGTCTGTGGTGTGAGCAGCCCAGGTTTTCTTTCTTCTCTCTGGGGAGAGCTCCTTATTCCCCTCATGTGGGGACAGTGCTGTGAGTTCCACATTTGAAAGCCAAAGTGGAGGAGTCCAAGTAGCTTTTCAGCCCCTGCTACCAGCTGCTCCCATGAGGTCGGAGTTTGAGCAAACAGGGGAAGGTAGGAGGTGTGGTTTATTAGGACGCAGTGTCCTCAGCACAGCCCCCCTGGTGTGCTCCCTGTGCTCCTAAGGGCTACTTGAGTTCTACAGTTCTGTATTTATGGATCAGATTTGAGGAGCCAGCAAGGCCAAACTCATGCTGTCTGCGATCTCCTTCATGGCAGTTGTGTAAGCTACTCTTGTTAAAAACAGGTAACCCTCTTTCCCCCAGTTACCTGAAACCCAGTATGCAGAGTTACCACGTATGTTTTGGTGTGTACTTTACCCAGACTTGACTTTCATTTATTATTATTATTTTTTAAAGATTTATTTATCCGTTTGAAAGGCAAAGCTTACAGAGAGAGGAGGCACACACACACACACACACACACACAGATCCTCCATCCACTGGCTCACTCTCCAGATGGCCACAAGGGCGGAGCTGGCTCAGTGCTGGAGCTGAGTCGGTCCAAAGCCAGTAGCTTCCTCTGGGTCTCCCACGTGGGTGCAGTGGTCCAAGGACTTGGGTCATGTTCGGCTGCTTTACCAGGCAAATTAGCACGGAGATGGATCAGAAATAGAGCAGCAGGGATTCGAACCGGTGCTCATATGGGATGCTAGCATAGAGGGCACAGACTTAATCTTCTATGCTGCTACACCACAGTGCCGTCCCCTGGACTTCACGACTGACTTTCTTTATTTTTTAAAGGTTTATTTATTTGAAAGTCAGAGTTACACAGAGAGGGAGGACGAGACTGAGAGAGAGAGAGGTCTTCCATCCACTGGTTCATTCCCCAAATGGCCTCAGCAGACAGGTTTGGGCCAGGCTGAAGCCAGGAGTCAGGAACTTCTTCTGGGTCTCCCACATGAGTACAGGGGCCCAAGGACTTGGGCCATTTTCCATTGCTTACTTGCTTGCCTTTTTTTTTTTTTTTAAGATTTATTTTATTTATTTGAAAGGCAGAGTTAGAGAGAGAGTCAGAAAGAGAGAAAGAGAGGTCTTCCATTTGCTGGCTCACTCCCCAAATGGCCTCTACAGAAAGGATTGGGCCAGGCCAAAGCCAGGAGCCAGGAGCTTCTTCTGGTTCTCCCACATAGGTGCAGGGGCCCAAGGACTTGGGCCATCTTCTGCTGCTTTCCCAGGTGCATTAGCAGGGAGCTGGACTGGATGTGAAGCACTGGACTTGAACTAGCGCCCATATGGGATACCAGCACTGCAGGCCAGGGCCTTAACCCACTGCGCCACAGCACTGGCCCCTCTCCACTGCTTTCCCAGGCTCATTAGCAGGAAGCCGGATTGGAAGTGGAGCAACGAGGGCTCAAACTGGTGCCCACTTGGGATGCCAGTGTTGCAGGTGGTGGCTTTACCTGCTACGCCACAGCAACTGTTCCCCCCACCCCCGCCCCGACTTGATTTTCAACCCTTCATTGGAACATTGTCATCTTGACAGGTGCTAGTACAAGAGCTTGAGATAAGGCTACTCCTTTCAAAAGACCGTGTTTGCAGATGGCTTAATTTAGGCCCTGCCTTGCCTGATCAAAGGGTAGTGTTTCCTTCTTTGGTCTGTGTTCACTGGGGCTGGGTGTTGGGGCAGTCATGCCTGGGGTATTTGTGTGTCTGTATGAGAAAAGGTGAGCACATGCTTTGCAGTAGTTTTGGATAATATTAGGCACTCACTATGGTTTCTTGTTCTGCAGGCTTGGGCTGTAGAGACAGGGAAGTACCAGGAAGGAGTGGATGACCCTGACCCCGCTAAATGGAAGGCCCAGCTCCGCTGTGCTCTCAACAAGAGCAGGGAATTCAACTTGATGTATGATGGCACCAAGGAGGTGCCCATGAACCCAGTGAAGATATATCAAGTGTGTGACATCCCCCAGCCCCAGGGCTCAATCATTAACCCAGGTGAGACCCCAGGTGCATGGGAGACTGTAGGAATTATGTCAGATTCTGGCTGGGCTCTATCAGGAGATAGTCAGCTTGGGAAGAGCCTAGTGTACAAAATAGAAGACTGGTAAAGCAAGAAAACCTATCCCTAGGAAGGATCCAGAGTACAAAAGCTGTAAACTCAGCAAAATCTTCTTGCTCACTTGGACATATGTCATTAGCCTGTTTGCTTAAAGCATGAGAAAGTGGAGGGGCTATAGAGTTCTACTGTAAAAATAGCCTCTCCTTGGACATGAGAGGCCAAGTCATTTTGGAGGAAGGACTAAAACTTGGAAGCCTTATGTTGTAAACTTGGCTCTTATCACTTGACTACTTGTAGGACTTGAATCAAGTCATTTGACCTCTTGAGTTCAGTTTCTGCAACTCTAAGAGCTCATCTTCCCTGTATTCTTCAAAGGATATTGTAAGAATTAATTGACATGACATGTAAGAGCTATTAGGTTCTCTATAAATGTGGGCGAGTGGTCATTAGATTGTCAGGTACTTTGCCAAAAGAGTATCATCTGATCCTTTTGTTGACTTAAAACTTAACAAGTCCTAAGAGCCAGATAGTTTAAAATTGTACTCCAGGGAGGTCCTGCTGTGAGCAGGGGTCTGTTCCTCATATTAGGTTTACAAGGGTGAGAAGGTGGTATTCTTGAGTCTTTAAGGGGATGCCAGTATGGAGGAAAGTAATGTTGAGGTATGCTAATGTGTAAGAGAGTTTTGGAAGGGAGTAAAGTTTGCATATCCTGAGTAGAAGCTTGTATTAGCCAGCCTAACCCTCTGCAACACAACACCAGCCCCGGGAAGGGTTCTTTAGGAAAAGTTAGAACCAGATCCTAACATACCCTTGGTTCCCACTCTTTTCAGCTAGGGCATTGAGGGCACATGCTAAGCTCAAGGACCCAGTGTGCTAGCAGGCCCTAGCTTGGAGCAGCTGCCAGGAGAACAGCACACCCTAAACTGCTCACCTGTTGGCTTGTGTGTCTTGGGTAGGATCTACAGGATCTGCTCCCTGGGATGAGAAAGATAATGATGTGGATGAAGATGATGAGGAAGATGAGCTTGATCAGTCACAGCACCATGTTCCCATCCAGGACACCTTCCCATTCCTGAACATTAATGGTGAGTAGGGTAGTGGTTGATACAGAGGGATGAGGAAGGTGTGGTACCTTTAACCTTGGAACTAACCTGGACCCTTTTGCCACCATTGCCCAGGGAGCAGGGATGGCACCTTCTGGCCAGGCTGTGAGTTTGTTAGCAAGCAGAAGTCATGGGCTAGGGAACTCTGCCAGCTTAGTTATCTCAGCGCAGTGGAAGTGGGTTCTTGGCATAGGGAACATTCTAATCCAAATAAACAATCTAAAGTCATTCTCAGTCCCACATACAAATACATCAGCAGTTATAAATTTTGCTAGTTTCCTTCTAGCCAAGTGCAGACATCATTTTATGAATTGTAGGCCAAGTCTTCCAAATTCAGCGTCATTTTCTTAACAGAGACCACTCTGCTTAGGCTATATTATGGGAAACTGGTCTCTCTAGCTACCAAATCAAGGCTCTGATAGGACTTATCTGCAAGAGACTTTCTTTTATGAACTCTTGGATTCAGCTTCCTAGGAAAAATGAGAGATTGGGAGGCTATTGGCTTATGCGGTAGGTACTGAATTTCCTTTGTGCATTCTAAGGATGTTCCAACATGAGCTGAATTGCTCTGCTGAAAGCATCTTTACTTCATCTGTCTACCAAGATGCTTCTAGTCAAAGGACTCCCATGCAATTGAGTAGCTTTCACTTCCTGGTGCCATCTGGCTGGATGTCAAACTTGCTATGTGATAACTTGAGCCGGCGCCGCGGCTCATTAGGCTAATCCTCCGCCTTGCAGCGCCGGCACACCGGGTTCTAGTCCTGGTCGGGGCGCCAGATTCTGTCCTGGTTGCCCCTCTTCCAGGCCAGCTCTCTGCTGTGGCCAGGGAAGTGCAGTGGAGGATGGCCCAAGTCCTTGGGCCCTGCACCCCATGGGAGACCAAGATAAGTACCTGGCTCCTGCCATCGGATCAGTGCAGTGCGCCGGCCGTAGCGTGCTGGCCGCGGTGGCCATTGGAGGGTGAACTAATGGCAAAAGGAAGACCTTTCTCTCTGTCTCTCTCTCTCACTGTCCACTCTGCCTGTCAAAAAAAAAAAAAAGATAGATAGATAGATAGATAGTATATAGCGGTGGTTTCTTTAGCAATTGGGAATACAGTGCTCTAGGTGATGCTCCTATCTTTGAGAATCATAAAGACCCTTTTGAAAGTAATTTATTTATTTCAAAGGCAGAACGAGAGAGTGAGAGAGAGCGAGTGAGCACTTCCATCCACTGGTTAACTCCCTAAATGACCGAAATAGCTGGAGCTTAGGCAGGCTGAAGCCAGGAGCCAGGAACTCCTTGTAGGTCTCCCACATGCATGGCAAGAACCCAAGTACTTGAGACATCACCCACTGCTTCCCAGGTGCATTAGCAGGGAGCTGGATTACAAGCAGAGTGACTAGGACTTGAACTGGCAATCTGATATGGGATGGATACGTCCCAAGCGGTGGCCTAACCCTCTGCACCACAATACCAGCCCCAGGAAAACCTTTATTGTATGTCCACTGGCCCTCCTTCACTTATCCTGCCATTTATATCTGTGCAAGCAAGTAATAGGAAAAAAATAATCTTATAGAAATCTGCCAGATGGTATTACCACATGCCACTCTTGAAATCTCAAGAGTTGAACATCTGGAAATGTAGAATCCTTTCTCAAATCTTTGGCTGACTCATCTCACTTTTAAAAGGATGGAACCTATTTCCGGAATCCTGATTTCCTATTTCTGTTCTCATTTTCTTAAAGCTAATATTGTATATCTTTATGTTTGGGCTGCCTTGGCTCCTCTTTGGAATGTTATAGGAAACAAAAAGGAAAATGGATGTCTATGAGGGTACTTCAAAAAGCTTGTTGACCAATGAACACTTAGTCTAGTGGCTAAGATGTCTCTGTCCATATTGAAGTACCTGAGTTCAGTTCCTAGCCTTTGCTCTTGTCTCTAGTTTTCTGCCAGTGCAGACCCTGAAAGACAGTAATGCTGGCTCAAGTAATTGGGTTCCTGCCATCCACAAAGGAGACCTAGATTAAAGGTCCAGTTCCCGGCTCCCAACTTCAAACCAGGCTCTCCTTGCTATTGCAAGCATTTGAAGAATAAACCAGCAGATGGAAATGTGCTTGGCTCTCTGTCCCTTTCTTTCTCTCAAAAAAAAAAAAAAATCCATGATAAAATGGAATTAAAAGTATGAGTTCATTTTGGTGCAAGTGTTGTTTTTTTTTTTTTTTTCAACTGTTTTTTATAATACCTGGAAAATGTGTTTTATGAAAAAACTATGCACCTATTAAAATTTTTCACATCAAAAGAAACTCATAATTCTGTTTTTCCATAAACTCTTTGAAGTACCCTCATAGATTAAAACAGACTTGTAAGGGGGCTGGTGCTGTGGCGCAGTGGGTTAGCACCCTGGCCTGAAGCACCGGTATCACATATGGGAGCTGGTTCGAGTCTTGGCTGTTCCGCTCCTAATCCAGCTCTCTGCTATGGCCTGAGAAAGCAGTAGAAGATGGCCCAAGTCCTTGGGCCCCTACACCCGTGTGGGAGACCTGGAAGAAGCTCCTGGCTCCTGGCTTCGGATCGGCGCAGCTCCGGCTGTTGCGGCCAACTGGGGAGTGAACCATTGGATAGAAGACCTCTCTCTCTCTCTCTCTCTCTCTCTCTCTCTCTCTTTCTCTTTCTCTCTTTCTCTCTTTCTCTTTATCTTTCTTTCTCCCTCCCTCCCTCCCTCCCTCCCTCCTCTCTCTGTCCTCTCTTTCTCTCTCTCTCTCTTCCTCTGCATGTAACTTTGACTTTCAAATAAATAAATAAATCTTAAAAAAAATAAAACAGACTTGTAAGGACAGGGCCAAAGAATTAATCTTTGTAATTTCAGAGCTGTTGGGGCAGAGGATGATGAATTGTTGAAGAATAAATGCCTACGAGGCGAGCTAGAAGGAGACATCTCTAGATTTTGGAGCAAGCCAACTTTTAATAGGGTGATTGTTTCCTTCTTGAGAAGACAGATCTTCCTAGGTTCTTGTATCCTTCTAGGAATATATAAAACTACTTAAAGTTTTATTTGATTTTACTTTTTCATTGATTTGAAAAGTAGAGAGACAGATTGAGAAAGATCTTTCATCCGTGAGTTAATGCTCTCAACAGCTGGGACAGGGCCAAGCTGAAACCAGCACTGGAACTCAGTTTGGGTCTCCCAGTATGATTGCCTTCTAGGGTGTGCACTACAGGAAGCTGGATCAGGAGCAGAGCCAGAACTTGAAATCATGCACTCTAGTATGGGATGTAGACATCCCAAGTGACATCTTAACTGCTGCAACAAATACCAACTCCATTTGTTTGTTTTTAATGGGATTTCTGAACATTAATGCTTAGTTGAAGCTAACTAATTCAGTTGAGTTCCTTTTGTGGAAGACAACCAGCTTTTATTTAATTTCTGGGGCCAAATTTTGCAACAAGGAATCTCTCCCTCATGCCGATTTAAATTTAACCCTTAGAGAAAACTCATTTGTCTATTTGTTAATTTCCAGTAAATAAAAGTTTTGAAACTATGAGTTTATGAGTAAAATAATATGATTAGGAAACAAGAATAGGAACCTATTCCTTACTGTGTTACTTCTGGGAATCACTGCTATGCTGGTGAGATCACAGTGGGTCATGGTCCAGTGTTTTACTGACCTTGCTAATTGTTAGAGGCTCAGGTCAGATGTGTGCATGTGTGTTGCCTCTGCCTGTTCACCCACATCCTTCTATTCTAGGTTCTCCCATGGCACCAGCCAGTGTGGGCAACTGTAGTGTAGGCAATTGCAGCCCTGAAACAGTATGGCCCAAAACGGAACCTCTGGAGATGGAAGTACCCCAGGCACCTATCCAGCCATTTTACAGCTCTCCAGAGCTATGGATCAGCTCTCTCCCAAGTAAGTGAGCCAGTCCTGATCTTTCTTGCTAAGACACTGTTTTCTCTTTCTCCACCTCCTCCTCCTCCACCTCCTCCTCCACCTCCTCCTCCTCCTCCTCCTTCTTCTTTTTTTTTTTTTTCTTTGTTGTTGTCCTGTCTTTGCTTCCATTTCTTTGCCATGTATAGAATCACTTTCTGTTTCCCGGGTGCCAATGAGTCACCGAAGGAAGAAATAAAGCACTCACAGCCCATACCTATTAGCCATGGGCATCTCTGATTACAGCGCCTGGTTACTCACCTTTTGGTGGGTGCTGGCCTGGGTTTATCAGTCAGGCCAGGGTACTTAGTGATTGGGCCAGTTGTGAGATAGAAGGTTAATAACCATGGATTTGCTTGAGGAGATTCTTTGGTTTTGAGGGCATTTAGGACCCAGAGAAAAAAATTCGTTCTGAATTTGATAGAGAATTTGTCTCAATGAAGACTCAATGCCAGAGCCCTGGTCTCCCTTTGCTCCTAGTCTCTCTAGTGCTCCTCTCTAGTTGTGGTAGAGTATGAGAACTAAAATTATATTCAGGAAGTTAAATAGCTTTGACAAGATCTAGTGGATTCAATAGAGACTTTCTGAGTGGAAATTTCCATGGCTGTGAACTGTATCCTTGTATGGTATATTGTTAGAACAGATCCCCAGTGTGCGCTCACATGTGTAACTTGAGAACCATGGCTTGCTATTTCTTTTTGTTCCTGGTTTCTTTAAATGGTGAGTCAAAAATGTGACACAAGTCAAATTCCTTAGTTTTTAGCTCCTTCTGATGCCTGTTGATATGAAGACTTCATCAGTAGGAAGTGGGGATACCAGGTCCTAGCACTTTTCTTGAAGTTTTAGCCCTTAGGGTGTGGTGACTGAACAGAGATAGCATGAATAGGACCTTAAGCTATTTGCTTCAAGGAAGGCTCTTGAGTGAACATTCCAGGGATATGTTGATGTCTCCCTTTATTACTGGAAGGATAACTATGGTAGTGGCCTTCCTGGACTTTGGTTGAGAGGTGGCTTCCTCTTGATGGACTTGCATGAGTCTTTGGAGGGACAGGCAGAGCAATGGAACAAGACTCTCATTGTCATCTCTCATTTGCAGTGACTGACCTGGACATCAAATTTCAGTATCGGGGGAAGGAGTATGGGCAGACTATGACCGTGAGCAACCCCCAGGGCTGCCGGCTCTTCTATGGGGACCTGGGCCCCATGCCTGACCAGGAGGAGCTCTTTGGTCCTGTCAGCCTGGAGCAGGTCAAATTCCCAGGTCCGGAGCATATCACCAATGAGAAGCAGAAGCTGTTCACAAGCAAACTGCTGGACGTCATGGACAGAGGACTGATCCTGGAGGTCAGCGGTCATGCCATTTATGCCATCAGGCTGTGCCAATGCAAGGTGTACTGGTCTGGGCCGTGTGCCCCATCACTTGTTGCCCCCAATCTGATCGAGAGACAAAAGAAGGTCAAGCTGTTTTGCCTGGAAACATTCCTTAGTGGTGAGTTCTTTTTCAGAACGTTGATGATGGAAGTTGCTCCCTAGAAGTGGTTCTTCCTCCATTTTCCCTTTTTCCTCTCTCCTTTTCTGGCACAGGACAGATCTTAACCAACACACTTCTTCTGGTTGAGGTCAAGGGAGGAGAGAGCCTTTCTTCTTCTTTTTTTTTTTTCTTTTTTTTAAAGATTTTATTTATTTGTGAGGTAGAATTACAGACATAGGGAGATACAGAGAGAAAGGTCTTTCATCTGCTGGTTCAGTCCCCAAATGGCCACAACAGCTGGGGCTGGGCTGATCCAAAGCCAGGAGCTTCTCCTGGGCCTCCCATGCAAGTGCAGGGGCCCAAGCACCTGGGCCATCTTCTGCTGCTTTCCTAGGCCACAACAGAGAGCTGGATTGGAAGAGGAGCAGCTGGGACACAAACTGGCGCCCATTTGTGATGCCAGTGCTACAGGTGAAGGCTTAGCCACAGTGCCGGCCTCAAGAGCCTTGCTTTTGAAAATGGAAGTGATCTAGGCAATGAAGAAGGAGGTTCCACTCCCATACTATCTACATGGAGGCTATTTTTTTTATGTTGGTTGTGGCTCCAGAAGAGGGAGGCAACCTTTTCACTAGTCCACAGATGTTGTTAGCTTACCTTTAAGTTTGAAAAGTGACCTTCTTCATCATACTCAGCAAAATATACACTCTTGGGAAATATCCAAGTGGTGAATTCAAACACACAGTTTTAGGGAACAGCATTGCAGTTTAAACCCAAAGCCTAGTGGGTCCCAGTTGCTCTGATTCTGATCCAGCTCCCTGCTAACGCTCTTGGGAAAACAGCAGAAGACCCAAGTGTTTGGGCTCTTGCCATCCATGTGGGAGACCCAGATGAAGGTCCTAGCCCCTGGCTTTAGCCTGGCACAGCCCTGGCTGTTGTGGCCATTTGGGGAGTGAACCAGCAGATGGAAGACCTCTTTCTCTCTCTTTCTCTGTCTCTCTATTGCTGTGTGTTTCTTTCCTTCTCTCTTTCTAACTCTGCCTTTCAAATAAAAATAAATAAATCTTAAAAATAAAGCAAAAAACAACCCAAGCCTAGATTGGTGATTTCCATTGGAATGCTCTGAATAATGGAAGTGTTCTATGTGTGTACTCTCCATATGGTAGCCACTAGTCACACTGTATGTGGTTGGTAATATGTAAATGTGACTAATGTGACCAAGGAACTACTTAATTTTAATTAGTTTAAAATTTTAAAAAAGGGGCCGGTGCTGCAGCTCACTAGGTTAATCCTCCACCTGTGATGCCGGCACCCCGGGTTCTAGTCCTGGTCAGGGCTCCAGATTCTGTCCCTGTTGCTCCTCTTCCAGTCCAGCTCTCTGCTGTGGCCTGGGAAGGCAGTGGAGGATGGCCCAAGTGCTTGGGCTCTGCACCCGCATGGGAGACCAGAAAGGAAGCACCTGGCTCCTGGCTTCGGATAGGCTCAGTGCACCGGCTGTAGCAGCCATTTGGGGGGTGAACCAATGGAAGGAAGACCTTTCTCTCTGTCTCTCTCTCTCACTGTCTAACTCTGCCTGTCAAAAATAAATTTAAAAAAAATTTTTAAATGAAGTCAATAGCTGTATATGGTTAGTGGCTGCTTTACTGGGCAACATAAGATAATATTTACTTGGGCTGGTGTTGTGGTGCAGTGGGTAAAGTGGCTGCTTGGGATGCTAGCATCCCATATCGAAGTGCTAATTTGAGTCTCAGCTGTTCTGTTTCCTATCCAGCTTCCTGAAAATTCACATAGCAAGGTGGCAGATAATGGTTAAGTATTTGGGTCCATGTAGGAGACCTAGATAGGGTTTTTCAGCCTGACCCTACCCTGGCAATTGCAGCCATTTTGGGGCCTGAACCAGTGGATGAAAGATCTCTCTGTCTCTGTCTCTGTCTTTCTCACTCTCTCTCTCTCTCTGTGTCTCTGTCTGTCTCTCTCTCTCTGTACCTCTGGCTTTCAAATAAATAAATAAATCTTTTTCTAAAAGATGATATTTACCAAGTGCATAGGGAATGACTTTGCCAACTTTATTCTTCTACCTTCTGCAGATCTCATTGCCCACCAGAAAGGGCAGATAGAAAAGCAGCCACCATTTGAGATCTATTTATGCTTTGGGGAAGAATGGCCAGATGGGAAACCCCAGGACAGGAAACTCATCTTGGTTCAGGTGAGTAGATAAGGATGTGTTCCTGTCTGCCAGTGTGTTAGCCTCCAGGTCTAGGTTGAACCTTGATGGAGTCTCCATTGGTCTATGAAGGTTTATTCCATCAGATGGGTTAGCAGATTCAGGCTACAGCAGGACCAAACTGGAGAATGCAAGATCGTAAAAGTGGATGACAGATTTGATAGAAACTCTTATCTTTCATTCTCTTACTGACATTATAGTCTTGCTGAAACCTCACAGAGTATGACCCTTACCAGCTTTTATATGAAAACTTTTAAAATTATTTCTAAGAATGTAATCTCATTCTAGGAGTGGCAGCAGGGCCACTTGGGGTTGGTCTCCAGAGTTACACAATGAGGCAGGCACTAAGTGACATTTGGTTAAAAGTACACTAAGTAAACAGTCATTTATTTAGGCATGTGGTGTGCATCTGGATTCTTCCATTTGAACCAACTTCTAGAGTGAACCTGGGCATGATGGTCTAAAGAGATAAAGGTACATTCTGTATCTAGACATGAGAGTTGAGGGCTTCCCCAGGGCCTCATGGGTCCTTCCTTCAGTTTTGGGTCCTTCCTCCTGTTCAAAAATATCTTGTCCTCAGAGGACACCTGTGTGCTCTGTATCCTGAACAGGTAATCCCAGTGGTGGCGCGGATGATCTATGAGATGTTTTCTGGTGACTTCACACGATCCTTTGACAGTGGCAGTGTCCGCCTGCAGATCTCAACTCCAGACATCAAAGATAACATCGTTGCTCAGCTGAAACAACTCTACCGCATTCTGCAAACCCAGGAAAGCTGGCAGCCCATGCAGCCCACCCCCAGCATGCAACTGCCCCCAGCCCTGCCGGCCCAGTAATCACGAATGCCATCTTCTCCTTCTCTTTTTTATGATATTGTATATAGGGCTTTTTATTATTATTATTATTATTCAGACTTAACCAGCTTTTCAATCTCTTTTCTCTAACAGTGTTAGAAGTCTTGGATTCTCCCAATATTCTTAGCTTTCAAAGTTGATTTAATTTATGGAAAAATCATCCTTCAGGCTTTTCTTTTCTTTTGTAAGCCTCCCAGTAGTAGTTTGAGGCAGTAGAAAAAGATTTGACTTGGGAATTTAGATACCAGGATTCTAGCTGCAGCTTTGTCTTCAATGTGCCTTGAACAAGTCATTTAACCTCTGGGCTTCAGGTTCATCACTTGTGAAGAAAAAAGATTGGAATAATGCCTGAAACTGCATTGAGCTTTAGAACTCCGATTCAAGTACTTCATTCTACTTGTGCAAGACAAAACTGCATGGAACCAGAACCCTTCTTCATCGTTCTTATGCCACATTTTTTTCCCCTTGCTTTCATTTAAGTTCCCTCGAGCACTGATTTGTCTGGTGTTGAGCTCTGTTTGACCTGTTCTGCTGGTGTAGTTGAGCTGGCTCCCTCGTGGGGGAAGTGAGAGGGAGAAGGACTGGCCGGTTGCTTAGGAACCAAGCTTGATATCTAAATAGACATGGGTGCCAAAGTCTGAAAGTCACCTGGCCTGCGGAGTAACAGCTTATAAATTGAGCTTCCACAGGGAAGCTGTCATACAGAAAGCTGAGGGATTCTGTGACAGAGTGGGTAGTTAGGTGTTGCCTTGTCAGCACTCAAACACCACTGTGTGTGTGTGGTGTAGATGATAGTATTAGACTCATGATAGCCCTCAGAGGAAGAACCTTTTTCTTATTTTCTTCTCTGAGGAAAAGCTGGGAGTGAGCCGGGCATTTGCACAGTTCCTCCTTGCTTGGAGACCTTTGGGGTCTTCCTGTCATTTGGATGTTCTGTCCTTGGGAAAAATGGGGTTTTGGGTGTGTTAAAGCCGAAGTGAGGAAGGTCTGGGCAGTGCTTTTCTGGAAAAGGCTCAGCTAGCACAAACCCGCTCGTCTCCCTTGCTAGTGGAGGTCTCCTGGGTGTGAACAATGAAGGGTAGGAGTGGTGTAGGGCACTGCAGCCATCTCTGTCACAAGCTGGTCTTATTTAGGAACTTCCACTCAGTCCCCTGATCCTTTTGCTTCTCCTTTTCTTTAAAAATGAAATTGTATATAATTTAAGTTCCAAGACTTAGATGGAGAACAAGATGCTGATCTCCAGTTGCAGACCCCAATCCTCCCTCCTCTCTGTCTTTAATGATCCTGTCTGCTGGTTCACTACCAAAAGGCTCTCAAGAGCTGAGTCTGAGCTGGGCTGGGCTGGGTGGCAGGAACCCACAGTCTCCCAGGGTCTGCATTGGTGGGAAGCTGGGATCAGGAGCCATAGCCAGTTACCAAAGCGAGGTACTCAATATGGGATGTGGACTTTTTTTTTTTTTTTAAAGATTTATTTATTTATTTGAAAGCAAGAGTTACAGATAGGCAGAGAGAAAGAGAAGTCTTCTTGGTTCACTCCCCATCAAACCAGCACCCATATGGGATGCTGGCACTGCAGGTGGCGGCTTTACCCGCTACACCACAGTGTCGGCCCCAAGGGATGTGGACATATTAACTGCTATGCTAAACATCTGCTTCCCCCCGTCCTGACACCAGTTTGTGCCAGTCCAAAATAAGGAAGCCTATGTCTATCCTGCTACCCTTAAACCAACTTTTTCTTTCCTTTTTTTTTTTTAAATAATTGAAAGTTAGGCTAGCTTTATTTAAAATACTAAAAGCTCAGCTCAATTGAAGGTGGCAGTGGAACTCATTTATTTAAAATGCATAAGCCTTGGCTTTAGGGCTTCTAGGAGACCTAGTGGAATATTCTGTTATCAAAAGCATAACCAAGCAGCTGGCACCGTGGCGTAGTTGGTAAAGCTGCCACCTGCAGTCCTGGCTGCTCCACTTCTGATCCAGGTCTCTGCTATGGCCTGGGAAAGCAGCAGAAGGTGGCCCAAGTCCTTGGGCCCCTGCACCCACATGGGAGACTGGGAAGCTTCTGGCTTTGGATCAGCCCAGCTCTGGCCATTGTGGCCATTTGGGGTGTGAACCAGCGAATGGAAGCTCTCTCTCACTCTCTGTGCCTCTGTAACTCTGCCTTTCAAATAAATAAAAGTCTTTTAAAAAAAATAAGCATAACCAAAAAACAATCTGGGCAAAGGTTCGGTGCCCCACTTCAAGGAGAAGTTGAGCTTTTAGGGGTGAAGAATCACACAAGGCATAGAAGCTTTATATTTTTGGAGTCATTTTGTTGAGTGAGTGAAGTGAGGGATCTGGCTGCCCCATCTCTATCTAGGAGCTCAAATCCAAGTGTAGGTAAATTGTGAGGACAACTGTTGAATCTGGCTGGTCCCTTGCCCTTTCTCTGTGAGGTACTAACAGGCTCTCCATTTGGATGGGCACCTCAATAGTGTGAGCTGGTGAGGGGTGTTACGTGGTGTTCTGAGTGCCAAGGACTGAGCTGTTAGGATGCGACCCTAAAGAAAGGTTTCTGAAGCATTATAGGAGTGGATGCGTAGCTGTATGTGGTCTTAACTCACAGCCCAGTTTCTTCCTTGTTTCGAATCCTTTTCAGAATGCTGCAAGGGTGCATGTGGGGATTTCCTGTGATCAACGTTAGCTCCCTTTCTCTAGGTTCTGATGGGTGCCAGGTGTCCTTTCTTTCCTGGGGACTCAGCCTACTGTGTCCTTGGTGGCTGCTACTGCTTCTGTGGTACCTTCTCCATGGCCTTCACCTCAGACTATGGAGTTAGACTGTGCCACTGGCTCTTGCTTTTCCCCTCTGTGCATCCCACCACACTATTTAAAAGGTAAAAAAGAACCACTGTAGACATGTCGGAAGGGCAAGTTTGTGTCTGGGCTGGTCCCTTCCCCTTTAACTGCATCCCCAGTTAGGTTTCCTTGACGCCCCTTCACCACCATGTCCTGCTTGACCACCAACTTGTTGAAGGTAAAGATTGTCTTGGACTTTGCTGTCAGTCTTTGGAAGAGTATCTGGTATACAGTGTATTCTCAAATATTGTTACTGGAATAAATGAATGAACTAAGTCGGTCATATATTTTGAACATTTATTGTAAACTACCACAGGAAAATAAGATAGATGTGGGGAGGGCGAAAGTGGTTAGGTTCAGGAGATTAATTGAGTCAGCTGAACTAGTTGAATCAATTTCTAGTCTGCTTCTGACTCCAAGCTAAGAACCAGAGTTAGGTTGGTAGCCCTTATAAACTAGTTCTGCCATCTGGGCCCCATCTTACTCCACATTTTTTTTTTAAGACTTATTTATTTGAGAAGCAGTTACAGAAAGAGATACAGAAAGAGAGGTCTTCCATCTGCTGGTTCACTCCCCAAATGGCTGCAATGGCCAGATCTGGGCCTATCTGAAGCCATGAGCTTCTCTGGGGTGGGTGCAGGGTCCTAAAGCACTTGGGTCATCCTCCGCTGCTTTCCCATGCCATTGGCAGAGAGCTGGATCAGAAGTGGAGCAACCAGGACACCAGCCAACGTGTATGTGGGATGCAGGCCGGCAGGCAGAGGCTTAACCTACTATGCCACAGCGCCAGCCCCTACTCCACATGATCTTTCAGTCTGAAGGTATCAGCCGGTAGAGCTAGAGGCGAAACCTTCAGTGTAGGTACCCAGCGTTCATTCAAGTCTGCTGCTTCCATGCCCCAGTAGAAATAAACTTGGGCCATTTCCTCAGACACTGCTGCTTCTCCTCGTAGTCCGAGTCCAATCTCAGCAGTTATAGAGGCATTAACCCCTAAGTGACACAACACAGTAATAGCCAGATTGAAAAGTCTCTGCATCTCCCCCTCTCATTTCTCAGTTGAAATCAGCAAACTGGACTCCTAGAACTTGAACCCCAGAAGGTGGGTTTTTCCCCCTAATTTGCACTTCACTGTACTTTCCAGCACCTAGAAGCAGGCCTTGAACGTATCTGTTCACGGTGACTACTCAGGCCCAAGCACCCTGCGAAGAAATTTTTTCTTGCAGCTCAGCCTATCAAATTCAGGATTTATGGAGGGGGAAAAAAAAAAAAAAGCTTTGCAGCATCCTAAACAGGTAATGTCGCTTGAGGTAATGTTTTGTCTGGAAAGAAAAGCGCATTTTCCCAAAGCAGAGGATGTTTATTAAGTGCCATGGGCTTGTGCATCCAGCTTCCCGGCCAAATGGGCCACCAGACTTCATAAGCCACAGGGAGAGAATGCCGGGAAGCAATGTCAGGTACACAGTCACCAGGTGCAACCACCTTTCATCCACTTCCGCCCCTATGCAGACGGGCGGGGTTAGCTTCTGTCGCGCCGGAAGGGGCGGGCCGCGGGCAGCCCGTGGTTTCCGTACGTCGCGAGGCGGTCTTTGCGGCCGGTGGTTCTAACGCGAGGCTGCGAGCGGACTGGATGAAGTCACGGGAGAACGGAGGGGGCGTGGCCCGAATGGGTGCGCATGCGCAGTAGGCTAGCTCCGCGGATTTAGCGCTGTGTGGGACGCAAACGTCCTCTCTGCGCCTGCGAGATTTGCAGTTTTGCGGCCCGGACACCGGAGGAGTACCTGCCATCCCGGAAGCAGGCAAGAAACCGGAAGGAGTTCTTGGGGGCGCGGACCTGCAGCGGAAGTGGAGGAACAGAGTACGTGAGGGAGAGCTGTTTTGTAAATTGCTGTGAGGTGTGTGGGATTGGAGGAAGCCCATCTTCCGAGGGTCCTTGCATATCTGCTAGAAGGGGAGGAGAGGCCCGGAAAAGTTAAAATATCGCCCTCCTGCAGTTCTGGCGGATCTCGTTTGTTTTTATATTGCAGGATGACACGGCTGTTAGTCCACATTTTAGTGTATGTCAGATGGAGCACACTGCTGTGATAACAGCGGTTCTGCTTGGTAGGAAGAGAAGGGGGAGTTGGCGGTGGAGAGGATATATTTGGAACCTGGAGTTAATGTCCCAGAAAGGCAGTCTCTGGTGCAGTGGTCTGCATCTCGCCAAAGACTGCCCTGCCTCCTCTGTGCCCTAAGCTCCTTAAGGTGTGCATCAGAGAACACAACTTGCAACAGGTAAAATTTATCCTAGAAGCCAGACAGCTACACATTTTGTCTTGGACCAGAAAGACACAGATTCGGGACTAAGGGAGACCACATCAACCAGAGAGATCAGGTAGCGTTGGAGGCCCCGTCTTGTCTGGTCAGAGGCAGCTTTTCAAAGCAGCGGGAGGGACAAAACAACCTTTGGAAAATGCCCCGAATGGGGAGACGTTGGTAGGCTCTCCGGTGTGTCACCAGCTGGTGTTAACAAGCCCACAACACCACTTCGTTTCTAGGCCCTCCTTCCCCACGTGCCTGCAGCCGAGAGACGCCACCCAGGGCCGGGACTGCGCTAGCTCAGGAGGCTGTGCGTGCTGATGTCAACGCCGAGCCCCCAGCTGCTTGTGGCAGCCGCTCAGCGGACGCTGGGCACGGGAAAGAGAAGGGGTCTCTCGCGATCCGTCTGCCTTCACCTGGCCGGAGAAGTGCTGGCTGTGGCCCGGGGGCTGAAGCCAGCTCTGCTGTATGATTACAGCTGTGCGGAGGCGGCAGCGCTCCGGAGTTACCTGGAGGAGCTGCAGGCGCTGGGCTTCCTGACCCTGGGACTTCACATTCTTGAGATCGGAGAAGACAGCCTGATTGTCAGTCCTGCGCATGCGTGTCAGCACTTGGAGCAGGTGTTGGGTGGGCCCGCAGCCTTTGTGGATGTGTCCAGCTCCCAGCCTCACCCTTCCATCTGCTCCCTGGACCAGCTTCAGGACTTGAAAACTGTCATGGCTGAGATCCTCACCCATCTGCGGGGGCTGCACCTGTCTCTGGAAGTCTCCCACAGCAGGCTCCTGGCCTCAGGCTGGAATCTCTGCACTGTATTTGGCGTCCTTCTAGGCTATCCTGTTCCCTATACCTTTCGCCTGAACCAGGCAGATGACAACTGCTTAGGCCTGACCCCGCTTCGGGTGTTCACTGCCCGCATCTCATGGCTGTTAGATCAACCTCCAGTGCTACTCTACTCCTTTAGTATACCAGAGAACTTGTTCCAAGCTGTGAGGGACGTTCTGAACACCTGGGAGAAGGACCTCAGAACCCAGTTCAGGACTCAGAATGACTTTGCTGACCTCAGCATCTCCTCTGAAATAATCACATTGCCAGCTGTGGCCCTCTGACTTTATCCTCTCGAATAGAAGGTACTCAGTAAATATTCACCTGTAGGCTGGGGATGGCAGATAAAGTCATCTCCAGTACGAATTCCAAGGGTTTTGAGAACACTAGAGAAAAACATGTAAGGAAGCGGCCACGTTTGCCATTTCTACACTAGGAAGTCCTCTTAGTGGATATGACTTTATTTTTCACTGGGTAAGGGCTGGAAGGAAGGGGATGATACAAAGGATAGTGGACGACAAGCAGTATGCCCTTGTATGGTAGTGTTGTCAACTATGTGGGTAGTGTATTCCAGGAAGGAAGGAAGATAGAGATTTTATGCATGTTTATATAGCTGCAGTTGACTTACGGAGCAAGTAGTCCAGGTGCTTAAGTGTCATACTTTTTTTTTTTTTTTTTGACAGGCAGAGTGGACAGTGAGAGAGAGACAGAGAGAGAAAGGTCTTCCTTTGCCGTTGGTTCACCCTCCAATGGCCGCCGCTGCAGCCGGCGCACCGCGCTGATCCGATGGCAGGAGCCAGGATCCAGGTGCTTTTCCTGGTCTCCCATGGGGTGCAGGGCCCAAGCACCTGGGCCATCCTCCACTGCACTCCCTGGCCATAGCAGAGAGCTGGCCTGGAAGAGGGGCAACCGGGACAGAATCCGGCGCCCCGACCGGGACTAGAACCCGGTGTGCCGGCGCCGTAAGGTGGAGGATTAGCCTATTGAGCCACGGCGCCGGCCTTAAGTGTCATACTTCTGATGTGATATGCCATTCAGGAATAAACCCATAGTTCCAAGGGTCAGTTTGATTTGGTTCAGTTTATTTACATCAGGTTAAAAAAAAAAAAAAACAAAGTCTGAAATTCCAATTCAGTTGGAGGAAAAATCCAAGCGTTAAAATACCCAAACCTGAGTCTTTCATTGAGTTGCTTACTTGTGATTTTCACCAAAGGCAGCTGTCACAAGTTACTCAGATAATCAGGTTGTCTTTATTGGCCAAGAACACTGCCAGCACTAGAGCAATCATCACCATCAGCATCTGGAGCCATCGGCCGCATTGTCTCTATGCAGAGGGAGGGGGAGACAGGAGAAAGCAGCCGTGAGTTGGAGAAGACAGAGGCCAAAATAATCTTCCTTCTTTCCATTCCAGCCCTATAGAATGCCTTGGGTTGGTGGCAAAGAAACATTTTTTTACTTCACTGTCCCACCTCCCTTGGGTTCAATCCACTTTCCCAGTGGTGCCTTGCCCAGGAAACTATATGTAGTAGGTGTCAGATACTTAAATGTTGATATGAATAATCAAGGCTAGAAATTATGCAGCCAAACTAGATTGTTTCTGTTCATATGCCTCCGTACTGTACTCCTCCTGTCCTTGCCACGGTTCTCACAATAGACTGAAAGGTCCTTTCATGCTTCAGGAGGTGGACAAAGTAAGTCTTTTGTCTCTGACCTCAAGAGTTGCATGAAAATGGGGCTTAGATGCATGAGCCAGTGTTTTCTTTCCATGTTTGCGTGAACCAAGTGAAGTGAGACAGGCTGACCAGATGTTGGCACGGGCTGATCAATTTCATCAGCAAGTTTTGACTAAAGCAGGAATTATCCCACCACCATCCAGTGCTGTATGGGAGGAGAGACCGTCTTACTCTCGGAGGTGGCTGCTGGCTCAAGTTCAGCTCTTCTCGGCAGTGCTGCAGCTTGTGCAGGCAGGAGAGGTACTCGTCACTGAGGTCGTCTAACTCTGAGCGGAGTTCTCTGCACTGGGGAGAAAATATCACCAAGGTCATCATCATTCCTTGTGTCTAGACAGTGCTCAGCCAGGGGAGGCTTCTCTGAGTGAGTTAACCCTTTATTCATTTGGAATTTTTATCACATCCTGTCTTCCCAGCCGTTCTCAGAAATTTCAGTTTGTCTTCTAGTTGTCTCACCTAGTTTGGAGTGTGTGCATTGAAGTAATTGATTATAATGCATATTATAATGTTAAATTTTATACATGTAAGTGGTCTTATGTGCAAGTGTTTTATAGGTGGGGAACATCAAAGTGTGAGGTTCTTTTAGCATCAAAGGCCTAGAAATGATCTTTGTGCAAATCTCTTTCCCAGGAGCTAGTTGCACATGGATACTTCTGGTTTTCTGTGTGCGTATGTGTGAGCGTTTGTGTATGTTCAAAGGAAAAGTTTTGCTACTTAAAAAATGCTATGTAAAGTATTAAGATACTGGGTGTGGGACAGAGGTTGAGAAATTTGTATGCTTATTAAATGTGTTTGGGTGTAGGTTGACTTTGTAGAAGTAATTAGTTAATCAAACCTTGGATAGGCATTGCTATAAATAAGGAAGGGAAAAGAGTGACAAGACAATGCAGAAGCAGAGACATTTTATACTTGCACCGGCACACAGTCACACATTAAACTGTGAAATCCCTGCTTGCTGGCTGCCACCCCGCACTTTTCCCTGCCTCCCTGTGGGTGAGTCCCTACCTGAGGTTGTGTCTTACCTCCTTTTCCTTGGCTTGGAGCTGCAAAGTCTTCTTTTGCAGCTGGTCTCTGAGATCCCAGTCCTTCTCCTTCCCTGCACCCTCAGGCTCCACCTCGTTGTGGGCAGGCTTTGGACTCCACACAGGTAATGCCTGATCTAAAAAAGCAGCCAGATTCTCCATGATAGGCTCACACCTGTGAGGAAGGCCCTGCCGTGGAGTTAGAACCCCTGGTAGGGGAGGGACAGAAAACCACATGGGACTTGTCCTGGGCTAGACTGAACGTAATGGGATTTTTTTTTTTTTTTTTTGACTCAGAGAACTCTCACTGGGTCCCTGATCAGCCTGACAGAGCTGTGCTTTGAGCTGCTTGAGGTTGGCTTCTTTTCTTTTCTCTCCAGTCTTGTCTGATGCCAGATTCCCTTAGTGAATGCTTATTCAATGAATTTCTTTGGTTGCACATCGCAGCCTTTCTAGTTTGTGATGTAGGGGTTTGCTGGACGCCTCAGTGTTAGCCCTTCTGCCTTCCAAAGTTGTGAAAATGGCAGCCGTATCCTAGAATTTATCTTACCATGGTGCAAGATGGGTTTTCAGCCACCTTGCAGTGAGTCTTGGCAAAAAAGCACTGGATTAAGGGTCAGAAGTTCTGGATTTAGTCTTAGCTGTGTCCATAATTTGACCATACACCTTTATTTTCTTTCTTTCTTTTTAAAATATTTATTGGTAGAGATCTTCAATGCATATTTTGTGCTTTATAAACCTTACATTCTCTTAATGATTTTTTATTTGAAGTTTTCTGGCCTCCAAGTGAACTTAACATCTATGCATGCAATTCTACATTGACATTTTTAAGATTTTAAAACTAAATATGAGGAACCATACATATTATATACCTCACTTAATAGTACAAAGAATTATTTGCACATTCATAAAAAAGTCACAAAAAGGCTGAAATCAAATTAAACAACCTTTGTGTTCTAAATTTTCCACATTCCATGTCTGTATAAAGAAATACTTGTTCAGTGTTATATATTGCTTGTTGTCTTCTAAGATTGTCAGAGATGCTTTAGTTATTATCTCTCTTTCAAAATTACATCTTAATCCACTTCAAGAGATAATCTTGTCAACATTAAACATGCTATATGCATTATTGTCCCAAAAGCTTAAATAAGAATCAAACTTTTAAGTTTTTAGACTGAGTATTTTAACCTTAAAATTATATAACTATATATTTACATATGGTATGGTGCATATTAAATCATTTCAAGTATTTTCTTATCTATACCATGTGAGCTTACTGACTTCTGCCTTATCTGTTGCATTATACCCAGTGGTCGTGAGGAGAAAACAAAGGGCCATGTGTAGTGGTTGAGTGGGGAGCTATTGTCCTCTCTGTATACAAGATGCATTCTCAGGCAGCTGTGGCAGCAGACTTCTTAGGGTTACAGTAAGGTGGCTCTTGCTTGCTACATGTTCTGGGGCTGGAGAGTTGAGTATGATTTAGAAAGTCCATCCAACCGTTTGGGGGAGTGAATCAGTGGATGGAAGACCCCTCTCTCTTGTCTCTCAAATAAATAAATCTTTGAAAAAATAAAAGAAAGTCAAGTGTGTAAAAATTACATGAAACCCTGAGTTCAAAACCAATTTATTGAAATGTTCAACACAAGACATGTTTTCAGAGAGAGTAGAAATGCTTTTTTTTTCATGTTTTGTGTACTTCTCAGTGGTTATATACAACCACCTGCACTAGTTAAAGCATCCTCAGAACCAGTGATCAGAGCTTAAGAGTCCTACATCCCTGGCTTCATAGACTCCCAGAACTGGATGGGGCTCCGAGAGGTCACGTGGTCCACGCCCCTGCCTCTAGGCAGGCAGGGAAGGAGCAGTATCTTAGGATGTGTGGTGGTAAATTTGCTGACCTTTCATTGTTAAGGGTCTGTCCTGTTCCTGAAGCTGTGAAGAGTGACTCTGAAGCAGACCTGTTAGAAAACACAAGGGACTTGGCTGTTCTAGCGTGTTTACTGCAAAGTCTCTTTTCAGACCTTTGCTTAGACAGAGCTGTAATTACCAAAGGTGTGCTCCCCCTGTTATGACAGGATTGCATTTGTCCCCCAGAATCCATATGCCGAAGTCCTAAATCCCTCAGTACCCCAGAATGGGAACTAATTTGGAGAAAGAGCCTTAGTAGGGTTAATCAAGTTAGAAAGAGGTTGTCAAGGCAGGCCCTTAGCCGGGAGGACTGGTATCCTGATAGCAAAGGGCAGTGCGGATCCAGGTATGCTTAGGGGGAAGACAGCCATCAACAAAGCCGAGGAAAGAGGCCTGGGCTAGGCCCTCAGAAAGCCCTCAGAAAGAACTAACCCACTAGCACTCTGATTCTGGACTTCTAGCCTCCCGAACTGTGGGAGGTACTTTGTACAAATATTCCATCCCTGTGCCCCTTCTACCTGGACTGTTCTGCAGAGCTTACTTAGAATGTACCTCCTTCTTTTTTTTTTTTTTTTTTTTTTTTTTTTTTACAGGCAGAGTGGACAGTGAGAGAGAGAGAAAGGTCTTCCTTTGCTGTTGGTTCAC